CGCTGTACTTAGTGATCCAAAGTATACCTAGATATTCATGAAAGCATTTTCACTGATGCAGAAATAACAATCCTCCTGTATATATTACAGTCAGCTCGTGGAGTCGTATTGCGAGAGAATGAGAAGTAACAAAAAGAGAACACAAAGCGAGGAGAAAAAAGATCAGAAAATTCAAGAACAGCAAGGGCTAGGCTTCACGAACAGCAGCGAACAGGCCATGTACACTTAAGATGGAACAAACCACGCGTACGAAAACGCACACATTGGCAACAACCCGCAGCATAACATATAGCCCGACCCGATTAGAGCATGAAGGAAAAAGCAGACTCGAAAAATCGGTGAGAGGAGGAAGATAGACAAGGGGAGAAGAAAGAAGAGAAGAAGGAAAAGAGGGAAGAAGATTATAGAAGACCAAGATGATAAGGCAGGGGGAAGAGGAGGAGAAAATACAAACGCCACCCGAGCATTAAGGAGGCTTGGCACAGCCAGCAACCGAGAATCACCACATAACCGAATCACTACGGAGTCAAACACCACCATTACGCCCGCACACACGCCACACAAAGCGAATGAAACCCACTCCACATAGGAAGCACAGCATGCGACAGCAGGATATTAACAGGACACTTGACACCAAGGCAAGCCAGCATATGAACCAGAGGAGCAGACCAAGAGAGCAATACCACCACATTAGACACGACAAGAGAACAACGCTGACAGACACAACGCGAAAGATGAAGAGAAAAAGGAAAAGAAAAGGAATCACCACATAAAAGCACACTCAGGACTCACCACAGAGTAAGCAGAACAACACCGTGACACACATAATTCAGTCACACACGAAAATATGAGGACCTCCACTATACTAGATACAGCCAAGGTCTCTATATGCACACTCATCACGATTAACCATAACAACTCCCTACCGACTCAGTCAGCCATCATACTCATCACAACATGACCACACAGAACAACAACACAACAAGACACAGGGACAAAACATAACACAACACACAGACACACACAGACCACAGACAAACATACACAAACACACACACAAGACACACACAGACACACACACAAACACACACAAACACACACACACACACAGACACAAAACACACACACACACACACACACACAGACACAAACACACACACACACAACACAAAACACACACACACAGACACACACACACACACACACACACACAACACACACACACACACACACACACACACACACACACACACACACACACACACACACACACACACACACACACACACACACACACACACACACACATATGTACTCTTACATTTCAATCTGTTTTTTTTTTATTTAGAATGGTATGGATGAATGAAGGCTAATATGTAATGATTACTTCTTAATAAATGCTTTTTCTAGGTCCTCTTTTATTGGTTTTGTTGATTAAGTATTCTTTAATTACAGGCTGGGATCAGAAATACAGACAACGTAAGAGTGGTAAGATGAAAAGATAAGATATTTTTTCACCAGTGCTTAAACTGATATATTTTTCATGCATGTGCATGCTGTGGTCTACTGTTTAGTATTTTAAGCAAGAACATCATTATAAGGAAGAGTTTTGGAAGTGCTACTGTACTTGTTCTGGCACCTAGTGATTGGAAGAGTTAGGAAGGAGTATGGATCAATTTATTTCTGTTTTGTCATCAGGGCTGGATTTACAAGTGGGAAAAGTTGGCAGCTGATTTGCAGTTAGGAAGGGTACTTAACTTTTTTTGTCATGATTTACTAACTATACTGTATAAGGAACTTGGCATGTATAGGCAAGTTCTGACTGATGGCCAGGGAGTGTCTGTTCTCTGAGCACTTACTATTTTTGCTCTTGCTGCCGCATCTGTCGCGTTTGTGACAGTTTATCGGCTTTCTCATAATGGAGCATGGCTCATTTCACCCACATGTACAGATATACGTCATTGACAAGTTTTTGACAAACATTTGTGTCAAGATTGTGTTGATGTTCTCTTTGGCTTTAAATATGTTCAGGGTTGCACCAAACAATTGTATAATCTTCAGAACAGCTTCTAGAGTTTGCCAATATTTACAGATAATATATATGCACATTCAGCTTGGGAAAAAGTAGGCACAAACATTATGAGTTGAAAAACAACATTATTACATATAATTATATGTGATTATAAATAAGTAGAAATTAAGTCTCTATACTACATTAAGGCCCATATAGGAGATTTTAACAGTATGAGACAACGTTATGAGTGAGACAAGAAATTATATAAACAAACATAATTAGTTAGTCTAGTAATTAGAAAGATTAGATTGATATAAATCAGAGATTTATAGATAATATGCATTAATCTAATTGTCCTTTTAATCAAGATTAGATTTTGCACAGTATACTTTGATGCCTATGTGCTAGAATATTAGACACTATGGTGACTCTACACTTGAAAGAGAGATATCGCATCTTCTACGCACTGTGTAGGACATAGGCAATAACTTTCTATTATATGGTCTCAGAGTTGTGATATTTCACTACAGTGTCCAGATTGCTGTATCATTCTAGGCCAGTCCTTGGGGGAAGGAGTGAAGGGTGATATAGTCGCGTGCAAGAGCGCACTCACACACGACGCCTATCTCGTGGAAACAATTACTTATTTCGTCCATGAGTTTCAGTTGCCAATTGTAGCAGGAGATAGCTACGTGTATTACAGAGGATCCTTTAGTTATAAGCTTATATATAATTCATGCGCTACACCACCATACGTACATTACAATAAATGTGTACCACTACCGACCGCCATCCCTTCTCTCACTTAGTTATACATATTAACAGACTAACCAATCATCAATAATATAATCATTAACAATCATATCATTATCTCAACAATCTACTTACAAAAATATAACACATATTCACATATATACATCGATATCATATCATCATTCAAATCAATCTACATCATCATCAATCATCATCACATACATACATCATTCAATTATCCCATTAAATAAATCAAATCTATCATCACTCACCTAGCGATTGCTTAGACAGACCGTCATAGCCAGAGTGAAGCTTGTGGCAGTGACTACGACAAGGGAACTACTCAACAAGTGGATGTTTTGAGTCACCTAGGTCAGCCTGTATTTTTATTGGGGCAGTGTTACGTTAAGGTGGCTTTACTACACCAGAGTGACTGCTCGGGCTTAAAACCTATTTATAGGCGGGAACTCTCAAGAGTGGGTATCCTAGAATATGATTACGTTATATTCTATATTGTACGAATCTAAGATGACGTTTGCCGAGATATATTTGAGAGAACTGTAGGAGGCCTAAGAGTTATGAGGTGTGAGTTTATCTCGTCGTCTCTCGAGATGAGACATGCTATGTACAGTTGGGTTAGACTGACTGTATGATGTACGGCACGGATAGCAGTGTGCCAGATAATATTCGTCAGAGATGATAGTGATGGTACATTCTTCAGGGAGTAAACTATAGCCTTCTCAACGAACTACCAAACTACATCGGATAAGTAAAGGATTTACTGAGGTTCACTATTACGATGAGTGTTTAAATTGTATTCGGAGATTTGAAGCTATAGCTCATACTTATGGCTTGTGATGTACTCTTATATTTTGACTGTCCTACACTTTGCAGCTGCACAACTAGAGGATGTATATGCTAGACACATATCGGAATCTAATTAAGATGATACACGTTTGCGATCTACCAAGGAGCACTCTTCTGTAACTTCGTTTTGTCGTGACAAAAAGTGTTGAATCATAGGAGGAGATTTCATTTGGTATTGTACTGTGTGGACTCTGCACCGTGCCGAGGGTTGGTTCTGACGTATTGGCTTGTGATACTTGTTGTCCGCAAGTCTGGAAAGCTTTCGGGGGACGCTTAAATGCTGGGCAGCGGAGATAAGCTTTCTTGAGCAAATTGGCGGAGGGAGGTCTTCTTAGACTACGGGTATACACAGAGCCTCTGTATGTGACTCGTTCAATGGCTCTTGACAGTTTGCCTGAGTGATAACCTTCCGTACAGAGATCGGTGGTAGCAAGAGAGCGTAGAAGGGTGATCGGTTTAACAAACATGGCTCTGATGCGTGGGAGTGAGGTCCCGGGAATGGCACACGAACATTCTCATACGCCCATGACATAGGATCAGAGGTGCCCCATGGGATCCTTCCAGATCATTAGTGTCTATATTGGTGAGTTAACGAAATATAGATTCTTATGAGTGGTATCTTTATTGTATATACGAATGTTGCGTAAATCAAGTTCATTACCTGGTTGTGACTACCTCCCTCGTACACTGTTCACTTCTCACTCAGACGGTCCTATACCTAGCAATCATCCACTCCACATGCAGTAGATTCTCAATATTTCCTACGCACAGCCTCGACAGTCGCGCGCGCGAGCGAGAAGGAGTCTCCCATCCGCACGGAGTTGCTCCGCCACGCCCCGAACAAATCTACCTCTCTCGGTCTTCTTCTTTCTAGCGGGGTGGTATCCAACCACCGTACCAACACTGCGCGTACGAACCCACAACCACCGTGGCCCACCCTGCGCTCGGGCATCCGCCTCTCACTTCCGCCGCCACACCACCTGTCTTGACCTGCAGCCATCATGGTGCACCAGAGCACAACAGCATTATAATCTCAACATGAGACACTGGACTGACGAATGTCACTATGGCCATGGTGGCTATCTGACACGTGGGATCGCATTGTGCACTGACCTCAGGTGCACAGGAACTCAGTCACTGTTGAGGAGGGACAACCCGCCCGGAAACAGGTTTATTAGGAATCCATGCAGAGAAGGAGGTTGAGAGGCCATTTTCTTAGTAATTCTTGCTCTGGCACTCCCACCCAAAGCGACCTGAGAAAGCTCGAAGTCACGCCCTTTCCATTGGCTGAACTAAGTTTACTGCTTCCGTCAAAGCTGGCCTCACCAACTTGCTCTCCCAGATCCCTCGCCTATGCGGTCATGGCGAGCTCGTCTGGGCTCGAAGCTGATTCTCCCGCAGCCAGCTCCCATTGCTATCCAGCTATGATCCCCACAACGCGTCCTCTAACGTTAATGCAGGTAGTCGCAGAGAACTCGTTCACCAAGCGTCTTTGGTGCTGACCCAGCGAGCACGCCGTTCCGCGGTTTGTCAGACCGATCCTTGCGAAAGCATCGCGGAACCCAGGAATTGACGCCAACGTTGAGGACGTAACAACACGCTCGCTTTCACGTGGTAGAAGTAAAGGTGTTGCAGCGGGTTTCGTACAACTTCCACTCCACGGCTCTGATTTTCCGTCAGCTGAGACTATGGAGTGGATAGGAGCGTGTTTTGGATGTTACCAAAACTGCATGCATACAGGGGCCTTCAACACCTAGCACAACTTAACGTCACCTACGTGGTCACCCGAGTGTTCTCTCTCCATATCTCCCTCTGAACACATTTCTCTCCTGACGTAAACCGTATTGAGACCAACCCTCGCTGAGGCACCAACGGCTCGGACGCCAATCTGAGCTTCATCCTGCGTCCCACCGCCTCCTGCAATAAACGTATTTGTCTCGGTAGATGTCTTCCGAAGTCCATCTGATCTCGGGCACCCGAAGTGATCGTAAGACGTCTCCTCCATCATAGGATCGGGTTTGATCTGATGTCACCTCTACATCGACTCTACACGCACACGCGTGTTCGATCACGCGTGCATTCGCGTATGTGCCACCTACAGATGACGTATTACTCGGCATTGTGTGCGTCTGTTAAGTATTCGAGATATGCATCGGTAAGTTTTAATGGATATCACCTGCCAACCTGCATGAGCGGAAATATCAATAATGCTCTCGGCATTATTGCTATTTTACCGTGAGACCCTGGCGGCCAGGTAGTCTCTGTTTAGAAGGGGTGGAAAGCATGAAGGGTCCTGGAAGAGCCGTATTGCTGACATATACATACCTTCTATCACCTGCTTCATATATCACCTATGGTTTAAGTGATGGCTATCTTTATTACGTCTACCTTTATTTATACCACGACCGTTCACCCACCGCAAGATCTCAGCACCCTCTCCTCGACTCACGCACTCTCAGAGCTCTCTCTCGCGCCTTACTCGGATCTGGCGCACAACCGTATCTTGCATCTCTCGTGCATCCCTTACTGTTCCCCTTGCAGACTTTGCAGTTTATATGTGTTCTGTGTTGGCAGTGATGTGTGTCGTTACTTGTGGTGCTAAGGCCTATGCTAATCATTTAATAATCTCTACTATTTAAATAGCTACAACTAAACACGATACCACACACCCTATTTTCCTTGGCTGTACCACACTACACACACACACACCAAGGCACCCACCGCAATCTATCGACACACTATCAATCAGCACACAAACTCACTGACAACATATGTCATACAACATCACAGCAGCATATAATATTATTTGTATTTATTATGATATATATATGGTAATTGTGTTGTTCATATTATGAGATTGTTAATGTAACATTAATAATATAATAATACGTG